GTGCCTGGTACATTGTATCTATCCTCAAAGAAATAAATCAGATTATTAAAAGCTGTAGGTAAAAATAAAAGATGTTAGAATATCAAAATAAATTATCAAAATAATTATAGTCACCTTGAATAAGCTGTGAATTCTTTGTGTTGCAATATTTACTTCTTATAAACATATATCTTTAAAATCAGAAAAAAATGATACAACTTTCCAATATTTTATTTTATAATTTGACAAGTAAACTTATCAAATTGTATTATTCCAAGTTATAGTTACAATAAGTAATAGATATGGAGACAGGATTGTACTTTTTGACATTATTATCCAAATCTTAGGAACTTATCTTGAACTTAAATAACTAAATTAATAACATGCCAAAAAAAAGTTCTATCAGAGTCAAACAGGCAGGGAAGACTGTTCAAAATGATGGCAATGGGAAGACTTAACCCTCTAAAGAAAACTAGGTAAATTTGCGAAGAGCTGTAGTGAGCTTATAGAACAGTGCTGGAGGACATTGTGACCAGAGCAAGTTTTGCTGCTTTGTGATTGGAAGTTAGGCTCCTACTTTCCCTCAGAAAATGGAAGATAGCATGCGATCTCATTTGATGGTTATGTTTCCTAGCCATATCTCCCAGGTCTTTGAGAAAGTACATTCTTGGCTTATAAAACTGGCAAGAGACTGAGAAATTTACATCTTTAAAGAGGTGGAGAAGGAATGAACAATTCCAAGTTTCTGCAAATAAATGTCATCCCTAAAGAGAAATCCTAAGTTTAGAGTGAGGAATAAATCCCTCTAAAGTTGTCATCTGAGCAAAAATGATAAGCAAATATTGGTTGACAATTTATATTACGTTGTACCATATTCACTGACCAGATTATACCTACTTAAGAAAGGAATTCAAATGGCTCAATCTAACATGATAGCATCCAGTTTGTATGTTATTTGTATATATACATGTATCTGGAATTGTGTTCTTTAATTTTATAGTTATTCGTTGCATATGATATATGGGAAAGATTTTATATTAATTCATATAAATAGTATATATTTGTATGCATATATTTGTATATATGCTGTTATCAAAAACTAAAGATTAAGGAGTAAAGTTGACAAATATAGGGAGGAAAGGTTGTCAAAATTCTTACATAGCTCTAAAAGAACTGTGACAAAATTCTTTCAGAAATAAAACCAGAAAGTAGTGTAAAAGTTGTATAATACGCACAAAATAAAAGCAAAGAATGATTTAAGAATAATCATTGTCCGGCTCATTGAGCCCTAACAGAGTTTCTCCTGTGAATGCTCCTAAAGACAATATTTTTGTGTTGGTGAATATTTTAGCAACCCAAATAGCTAATTGTATAGTCCTGCATTTTGCTTATTTATTATTTTCTCTAATGCTATTTCTCATTGGAAACTCTTGGCAAAAACTCGAGATATAATCCAGTATAAGAAACTTAATTGTGTATTAACATAATGACGTCCAGATACACAGCTCTCTAAAGACCGAACTAAATATATCTAGAAGAGTTAATTCCATTAGAAAATATTCCATGCTGCTTTTGGAAGCCCACGTCAAAAACTCCAATGTACTCTCATATGAGCATTTGAAAATTGCCGTTCTGACTTTTTTTCTAGTTCCCCGTCTAAAACTTGTAATGCTAATTATTCTTGCCTTTACTTCTCTTTCACATCTCCCATTCATGATTCAAGGAATTTCTTCTCCCCTTAGAGACAAGAGTTATGAAATTTGGGAATCTTTTAGATAGACCCACTGAAGGGTACTCCAATTGCCTCACCCTGC